TGATGAGATACATATTCTAGAAAGGAAGAAAGAGATTCTGACTGTAGAAAATAGAGCAAAAGGGAGAAAGACTATGGCGCGAGGACAGGCACAATAATCCTGGCAGGAGGTGATAAGGTGGCCTGACTTGAAGAAGTGGCATTAGGAATGACAAGCTGAAACAGAAGTGCGATTGACAGGATTTGGTGATCCATTCATCCACCTCTTTAACAAGCATTTTTGAAGCTCCTACTCTGTGCCAGACAGGATCCTTCACAATGGGAGGCTGTAGGTGAAGTAAAGACAGGTTGTGGATACTTACATCGTAATGGGGGCAAGATGGCAAGCCTTTTTGGCCAATTAGATTTGGAGGGGCTGAGGTGAGAAGACGAGTACTGTCAAGAATTAATCCAAGGCTTCTATTTTGAGCATATGGGTGAATAGGTTTAAACATTAACACTGAATTTAAAAGCTTGCCTAAGGGGTGCAGAAATGAGTTCAGTTTCAAATAGGTTTCTTATCTGTCATAACTATATGGGAATGGTGATGAATTTTTAAAGCTTGCTATCTAAGAATTTGAAAGATACTTTAACTTTAACTCCAGTTCCCCCATATACCATATTAAAAATGTGAGGCAAAAAGGGACTAGTGATTATCCAAGGTTTCAAGCTGTTCACTAAAAGAACAAAGAACAGGATTCTAGGGTTTTATTTTTTTGCTTTCAGTTAACTGCTCATTTTTCTCTATCATCCTTTCCCCTCCCTCCCCCCCTCCTTCCTTCCCTCCCTTCCTTCCTTGCTTCCCTGCTTCCTTCTTTCTTTCTGGAGCCCCAGAAAGGAAACAGGATCAGACAGGGGTCAAGGTTGGAAAAGGTGGAGAAACACTGCTCTCAGGAATTGGAAAAACTTTGACAAACACCTCCAGGTTTGGAGACAAATCAGTATTCAATAGGAGGTCTTAGGAACAATTCTCTTCCAAGAATATCTACCCTGTGCTTTCTAAAATTCCATGTTATATAGTTGTACATGTATAATTTTGGGGGTAAGATTTTGGGTCACAGCTGTGATACTGGAAGCTACTCTTGCTGATACTCGGGGTAGCGCCTCTGGGTGCTCAGGAGATCCTGAGGCACTACGGATCAAACCTAGACTTTCTTCCCATTGCCTATGATCACATCATTTAACGAGAACTGCTAACCTAAACACAGCCAAAACAGACAAGGCTGAGGTTCTGAATGCCAAGTCCAACAGATTTCCCATGCTATCTTAATTTCAGATTTGCTTTAAACCTTAGATTCAAGTGTCCAGGGTCAGGCAATGTAGATGGAAGCTAAGTTAATGTTACGTAATTGACAGTCAAATAAATGAGCAGTGATTTGTAAAACAACAGGAATGGTGGAGATCTTTAATGGTGAGAAGGTGCTCTATGGGGGACAGGGGCAGCCAGCTCCTGTTTTGTACAGACCAATGTTGATATGAAGAAAGGCAAACCCAGTTTTGCCCAGATCTTCTGGTTTTTCAAGAGAAGATAAGCCCATACTTTAAGATAACATATATACATTTTTTTAAAAAAGGACTATGTAACTGAAATTGGTTTGTTTGTTTGTTTATTTTGCTTTTTGGATCACATCCAGCAATGCTCAGGGATTACTCCTGGCTCTGCACTCAGGAATTACTCCTGGCGGTGCTGGGTGGACCATATAAGATGCCAGGAATTGAACCCGTGTCAGCCACATGCAAGGCAAATGTCCTACCCACTGTTCTATGGTTCCAACCCCTGAAAGTGGCTTTTTCACTGCTGATTTGTTACCCCCAACTGCAATGAACAGGCAGCAATAAGAAAGTGGGAAGAGACATAGATAAAGCATAGATAAAGGAGGCCTGTCTCCCCCACAGAGAGAAAAGCAAAATCACAGGGAAGGAAAAGACAAGAAGAGATACAGAAAGTCAGTTCTCGCTTACCCCAAAATCAGGCCTAAAGAGCCCTAATCTATTTGTCTTCTGATTTGAGGACAGGAAAGGAACATGAAGCTGGTGGGAGAAACAATTGTTGTATGCTCACAAACTCTGGATGGCAGAGTTTTTATGAAATGTTTTGATTTATATAATTTTACTGAGATATGGCAATGCAAGAAAAAAATCCTAAGCATGGGGAAAGAAGGAAATATATCAAGATAGAAATAGAAGAGGCATCAGATTTGTGACTTCGTTTCTATTTGCCCTGATTTTGAGGATGGGTGCCTTGGGGGTAACACCTGGTTGTGCTCAGTGCTTACTCCTGGCTCTATACTCAGGGACCAGGGCTCACAGGACTAGATATGGTGCTGGGGATCAACCCCAGGTCCATCATGTACAAGGAAAGTGCCCTACCCATTATACTATCACTTTAGCCCTCACCATGATGTTTAACCACAAACCATTTTTTAAACTGTGTTTTGTTACTGTTGGGTTTTTTTGAGGGGAGGGGTGGGTGGGAAGTGGGGGTGTTATCCAAGTGTTCTTAGGAGGTCTGAACACCCCCACTAGGAATTCTTGGCCAGCTGAGCTCTGGTTCCCAAAAGTTCAACTCAAGTACCTGAGAACCCAACCCTGCTCCAGCCCTTCAGTGCAGGGGATGGTTGGGCCACCCCAGGCCACGTTTCTGATGCTGGGGGCATCTGGGGACCACCCGGCAGTGCTCAAAGTTTTCCAGGGCTATACCTAGCCATGCTCAGATGGCTCTGGGAATCAAACCACAGCTCTATCTCTGGACCTTTAGCCCCCTGCTTTCATAATAAATTTGAGTAAAAGTTAAGTAAGTTGTGTTTCTGGATAAGAAAATTCATCCATCCTAGAGTGCTGAAAGTATATCATCATAAACCAAGCTAATCTAGGGACTGAATATTTAAAGCAGAAAAGTATAACAGTTTCAAGCATCTGTAAATAATACACAATGTGGCAATTACGAAAATGGAATAAAGAAAATATTTAAAAATACTATACAGGTGATAAAGACAATAGATTGGTTTAGAACAAAAATGCACAGAATTGTTGAGAATGCTGCAGAATGCCCTTATGTGAACCCTGGGCATGTAGTGCAGTGGGTCACAAAAGCTACAAACCTTAGTGCTCAGAATGAGGGGGAGGTATATAAGGACTGGGGATATGGAGCCCCTGGCCCAGTGCTCCAGCTCTTTCTCCCTCCTTTGTTCTATTTTGTATTTATGCCCTATATACTCTAAAGGGTACTCAGTGGTCTTTGGATGTAACAAAGACAACTGTTATGTCCCCTACCTCCAAACCAAATATTTCAGGGTGATCTACATTTCCAATTAATCTTTTTTCAAATGTTAAGTGTTCAATCTCTTCATAAATGAAATCCTAACCTAAATTCTTCAAGTGTAATTTCAGGGGAAAAATACTGTTAAAAAAAACCTAGATAAAGCATTCCTTTGTTGGTGCTAAATATAGCCATCTCAAGATGACATACATTTTGACAATGATCAGTCTTACCTATCAAATTTTCAAATATAGCACAGAATCCCTTTTAAGGTGAGCAAGAAAAATCGCTATTCACTACATTTCAGTTCCAAAGTGTGAATCTTCAATTAAACTGAATTGCATCATTAACAATAGTGAGGAAAACTGGACTTGAAGGAATTTTTTGGTTGTTTTTGCTTAGGCTTCTTAAGGGCAGTGTTACATAAATAAAATATAGAATTGTACCCACTTTTTCTTTAAATTATTCCTGTCAAAATATAGTTAACTGCTAATAACTGTCAGAAGGAATTTTAACTGCATTCAACAATGAAAAAAATCACATCTTAAATATACTCAAATTTTTCCATCTTAACTAAAAAGAAATTCAGAGAGTTCCATGTGTTTTGAGTTTTCTTATGACAACAATTTAACCTGTAAAAAAGGGTGTGGAGGGAGGAAATAACATGTGAGAGGGAATAACATGTGACTAAGAGAACATCAATTTGTAAGTTTACTTAATCATACTACCCATCACATAGTTATGGTGGGACTAGAGGCCCGTCCATGAGCTCATTAACAAATATTAGCTGATGAATGATTGCTGCTTAGTCTCATAGTGGCTTACTTCTCTTATCTACCTGCCTTTTTCCCAAGGACAGACATTTTGTTAGGACATATTCTTATGCTATTTTTACCTTGTGTGTTCCCTCTCTCTCTCCCTCTCTCCCTCCCTCTCTCTCCGTCTCTCTGTGTCTCTGGTTCTCTCTCTCTCTCTCTCTCTCTCTCTCTCTCTCTCTCTCTCTCTCTCTCTCACACACACACACACACACACACACAGACACGCACACACTTGCACACACGCACACACACTCTGTGCGCTTTATGAACCCCAGCTACTGCAACCCCGTTGGCTTTTGCCCATTGCCACTAGCTGTAACTGCCAGGTGGGTGCAGAGCAGCGCACAGTCCACGTTTGGCACCGGGGCGAGCATCTCGGTCTGGAGCCCGGGTCGCTGCTGCAGTCCCAGCGCCCCATAGCTCCATCCCGACCGGGCTACCCGTTCCCCAGGTCACAGCTCACTCCCCAGCCTCCCGGGGCCCTGCAGGACGCAGATTGAGACAGTGCTGGGAACACGTGGTGGCGGTGGCGGTAGTGGTGGGTCAGGGTGTGTGTGTGGGGGGGGGGAGGGGGAACGATGCTGAACTTGAGCCGCCGCCGGGACCCCCAGGAGGGGCGAGCACCAAGGGCGAGCGTCCAGTGCGCGCAGGGGTGGGTAGAGGTGCTTTCCCTGGCGCAGCGGGAGCGCCCCTCCCCCCGCACCGAAACTCAGTCCCCGCGGACCCGCGGCCGGACACCGGGCAGCGGAGGGACAGGCAGCCGCGGGTGCGCGCTCGGCTGAGCCCGCAGGACCGGGTCCGAGCACCGGGCGCCGCGCCGCGGCTGCACGCAGGTCGCCCGCTCGGTGGCAGCTCCGGCGCGCGTTCCCCGCAGCCCCGACCCCCTCCCCCGGCCCCTCGGTGCCCCCCACTCCCACCCCCGAAGCCCTCCCCGGGTCCCCTCACCGGCCGGGAGCCTGCGGTGAGCGACGACGGTGGCTGCGCGGGGCGCGCCCGAAGCGGGCCGGGGTCTGGCTGCTGCGCGGCCGCCGGGAGCGTCTGGCTGCTGTGGCCGCCGCCGTCTCCCCCAGCAAGTTTCCATAAAAGTCCTGGTGCGCAGCCGGTTCCCGCATTCCAGGCGGGCCCGGAGCGGCTGCAGCTGTTCCAGAGCGCTGAGCCAGGCCCCCGCCCCCACCTCCGCCGTGTCGCCGGGAGAGGGGTGCAGGGCGGAGTCGGGCAGAGGACGGCGGGGGTGCCCGCTTGCTTCTTGCCCGCCGCGCCCGGCTCGGGACCCCATGTACCCCACGCTCTGAGCCCGGCCCGGGGAGGCTGCGACTCTCCCAGGCGGGAAACACACACACACACACACACACACACACACACACACACACACACACACACACACACACACACACACTCCTCTTCGGGATTGGGGTTCGTGAACGCGCTGCGCGCTGGCCTGGGCTCTCCCGGCTTCTCTCACCTGCCCCGACCACTCCCGACTCTTCTTCACTCGAACCTGCCGCCGACTTTGCTTTGGTTTTGTGGTCACTGCTGGCTCGGTGCTGGTGGTCCTGAGACGGTGCGGGGACTCGAAACAGATTGGAGGCTAAGGCACCCGCCTTCACCTTCCTCGACTGGGGCAGAGCACAGGGCAGGAGTCCCTGGACCCCTCATCTGCGTGTTGCTTGCCTTTTTCTTGCCTTTGGTCTCTTAACTGTCCCGAGAGTGGTTGGAGAAGGAGGTGGGGGGTGGGGGGAAAGCGGGAGCGGGTAGGGACGAGGAAGAGGAAGAGGAGGAGGAAAAGAAGGCATAAAAGGGGCCTCAGAAGATAGCACAGCGGAGAAGGCGCTGGCCTCTCATGCACCCGACCCGGTTTAGATCTCCAGCACCACTACGGCCCCCCAATCCCTCTAGGAGAAATTTCTGAGAGAAAAGTGGGTGTGACAGACCAAAAAAAAAAAAAAGGGAATAAAAGGCGTGTATTTGTGTATTCTTTCAGCCTTTCGTTAAGGCAAACCATCACTTTGTCTTCCTAAAGCCATCTAAAAATATAACATTACAGACCTACTCAACTGGGACCACGAGTCTGTCCATTTAACCTATCAAACAACCTATTTCAAACAATCTATTTGAAATGTTTGGGGTCAGAGAGAGGACAGGGGGAATGGTGCTTGCCTTGCATGCAGGGAGCCCCGTTTAACCTCTGACAGTTACATAATCCCTGAACACAGAGCGAGGAGCAATCCCTGAACACAATGGGCTCCCCAATAAAAACCTGAAATGTTTGCTGGGGGTATTTCGCAGGAGTGGAAGGGGAGATCTTCAACTCCTCCTTACACACAAACTAAAGATGATGATGATGATGATAAACTTTTGGTTTGTTTGGGGACCATATCCTGGCGATGCTCAGAGCTTACTCCCGGCCTTGTGCTCAGGGATCAATCCTGGTGGGTTCAGTGAACCATATGGAGTTCCGGGGATCCAAATGTAGTCAACTCTGCACAGCAAATGCTCTACTAGCTTGTACCACCCCATAATGACAATAAATTTAAGAACCACACAGATAATCCCAGGATAATCACTTCCAGCTCCCAGTCCCGGGCAGTCAGTAGTGTTCAAGTTTTATTTTTACAATGTTAAAAAAAAAGTCATCTCCTCATAACTGTAACTGTTCCCCCTCCATCTTGCTCCATTACTTACTAAGGATGAGAAATTTTTAGAGAAGTAAGCCATTCATTATTCAATTCGGTTGGACAATTAAAACAGCTGCTGGAATTTACTCGCCAGAGAGTACATGTACAGGAAGTAAGGCACTTGCCTTGTATGTAGTTGACCCTAGTTCAAATCCCCACCATTGCATATTGTTCTCTGGGTACTGCCAGGGGACATTCAAGCACAGAGCCAGGTATAGCCCCTGAGCACCTTTGAATGTAACCCAACACCCCCGCACACTCACACAAGGAAAAAGAACCTCAGAGGCTGGGGAGATAGTATTGCAGGTAGTGCGCTTGCCTTGCACCCAGCAGGCTCGGGTTCAATCCTCAGCACCACACCTGGCAGGACTCCCTGAGCACAGAGCCAGGAGTAAACCCCAAGCATCACTGGATATGACCTCTCCAGCCCTCCAGAAAAAAATAACCTCAGGAAATGATAGACGATTTAGATGATCCAGCTCACCCCTTATTCCCTTCAGTATCATTGGCCTTTGCTTCATGGAACCTCCATAGTTTTTCTAGCTAGAATACCTTCACACAAACTATTCTCTACACAACATCCCCCCCCACACACCCCATTTCCTTCGTCTGCTTAATTTTCTATACTTTCTTAGTTTTCTTAAAGTTGCTTTTGTAGCGGTTGAGGAGAGAGTACAATGGGTAGGGTATTTGCTTTGCTCATGGCAGACCTGGATTTGATCCTGGACCTCCCCCATATGGCTCTCCATGCACCTCCAGGAGTGATCCCTGAGAGCAGAGTCAGGAGCAAACCCTGAGCATCAACAGATGTGTTCCCTTTCCCCCCAATAAAACCAAACAAAAACATGCTTTTGTAAAGTAGCCTCCATTTACCCCAAACTGTATCCTTCCCCACTTATGAATTGTCTTTCGACCCTTTCTTCCCTGAACTTAATAAATTTATAATTCTACATTTATCTTTCTGATTTAAAGGAGCAGAAGCTCTCTTAGAAGCTGATATCCACTTCCCAGTTTGACCAAATTAAGCAAAACTCTCCATTCTTCTTATAAAACTCTGCTGCCAATCTGAAGCATTCAGGGCAGGCCTAGATGGTCTCATTAATTATTCATTTATTCCACAGATATTCAAGTCTAGATATTGAGAACACAGGATTTACAAAGCAAATATAAATGAATCCTATCATCAATGGCAGCCACTGAAATATATATTCCAGTGGAAAAAGGTGGATAGGTACACAACAAATTAAGTAGTTATTACTTAGTTTTAAGCAACATGAATATGCCAGGCTCTTCTGTGCGGGCGGAATACTCTCGGCAGCTTGCCAGTCTTTCCGAGAGGGATAGAGGCTTTTGGGGCGACCTCTAATTGCCCTTGTAGGTGTTACCATATTTGAACCTTATCAAATATGGTACGGCAATTCCAGAAGATGGGTATTTAGTGTCCGTTGAGCCTGGAGTCCAAGGTCTCAGTTCCGCTTATCTTGTTCTGTGGGTCTCCAGTCATGCGTGAGTCTTGGCTGGAGCTGCCACGCGGGTCCGGAAAGCATCCTGGAGTGTGGCAGCGGCTGGGTAGTGGAGCTAGTGTCGGTCTGGCAAGCTATCTGTTGTGTATTCGATATGCCAAAACCAGTAATTACAACTGGTCTCATTCACCTGACCCTGAAGGCTTCATCAACGTGGTAGCACAGAGAAGGATGAGAAAGGAGAGGCCGATAAAATCTCAAGGCCGAACTAGGCTGCCACAACGAAGGAAGACAAAAATGATCGTCTGTACTTTCTATTTTTTTTTTTTTTTGCTTTTTGGGTCACACCCAGCAATGCACAGGAGTTACTCCTGGTTCATGCACTCAGGAATCACTCCTGGCGGTGCTTGGGGGACCATATGGGTTGCTGGGAATCGAACCTAGGTTGGATGCATGCAAGGCAAACGCCCTACCCGCTGTGCCCAGCCCCTTGTCTGTACTTTCAATGCACGTACGCTAGCATCAGATGCATCCATCGAGGACCTGATGGTACAAGCGCAAATGATCAAGTACGACATCATTGGTCTGACCGAGACAAGAAGGCACGAATCTCACCATGTCATTTTCGACACTGGAGAAGAATTGTTCCTCGGAACATGCGACAAAAGAGGCGTCGGAGGCGTCGGTGTCCTTGTCAGCACAAACTTGGCCATGAGCATTGATTCATTCGAATGCCTAACAACCCAAATCGGACGTTTACATTTGAATAGATGTGGCTCACTGCCTGCAGTTTCTATCTTCGTTGTCTACGCACCAACATCTCATTATGATGAAAGAGAAATCAAGAAGTTCTACATGGAGCTGGAGAAGTTCTATAAAGAAGACCACACCTTCTACAAGATCATTGTGGATGATTTTAATGCCAAGATAGGACCGAGAAGATCAGCTGAAGAACTTCACATCGGGACCCATGGCCTAGAATGGAACAAACAAGGTGAGAGACTGTCTGAGTTCATCATGTCGATCAAGACCATTCATGGTAACTCACAGTTCCAGAAGGCAGAATCTAAACGTTGGACATGGGAATCTCCCGGTGGACGATTCCACAACAAAATAGACCACATCATATTCAATCAACGGTTTTGCCTGACCGATGTTGCTGTTGTCCCAAAATTCCGAACGGGATCGGACCACCGTCTCCTTCGTGCAAAATTCTACTTCACAGAGCGGGGAGAAAGGGCTGCAAAGTTTAAAAAGAGAACTTCCAGAACGACCACCAACAGGGAGCTCTTTGGCACTATTGCGGCAACATGGGAAGATGCCATTGTTGACAACATTGATGAGGAATACGATCGACTGGTACAGGAACGCCAAGAGAGAGATAGCCACAAAAAAACGCCTATCTTTGAAAACTCTTGAGCTTATTCGCCAACGTGGTTTGGCGTATGCCTCAGGCAACCGCAAGCTAACGTCCGAGTTCGCAAAGCAGTGCAGAGATGTGATCAAGGAAGACCTCAAAGAGAGAAGAGCAGAAGTACTGGTAGATGCGGCAGAAGCTGGGAAAAATATTCGTAACGCCCACCTGTCCTTCGCCAACTACAAGACCAAGACTACTGCCCTCCGACGTCCTGATGGATCCATTACATCCTCCAGAACGGCAATGGAGATTATCCATGACTTCTACTCAAATCTCTTCGATAGCCATGTCCACTTGCCGACATACCAAATTCCACAGGATGGATATGTCATTCCCAACGTTCTCCCTTTCGAAATCTGACACGCCATTTTGTCGGTAAAGAAACAAACAGCACCCGGCCCAGACAAGGTCAGACCTGAACACCTGAAGAACCTGCTGTCAGTACTCATCAGTACACTGGTTCGGCTCTTCACATGCTACCTGTCTGAATGCAAGGTTCCGTACCAATGGAAAACCAGCAGGACCGTACTACTGTTCAAGAAGGGAGACATCCATGACATTGGCAACTATCGCCCGATCTGCCTATTGTCTGTCATCTACAAGTTGTTCACTCGAGTCATCCTAAATAGGATTGGCAGAACACTAGATGAA